TCCATGATCGAATTTTATGTAATCCATGATCGAATTTTATGTAATCCATGATCGAATTTTATGTAATCCATGATTGAATTTTTTGAAAATTTGTGATTTTTTTTTAATCCATGATCGAACTTTTTTTTGTAATCCATGATAGAATTTTTTGAAAATTTGTGATTTTTTTTTTAATCCATGATCGATTTTTTTGAAAATTTGTTATTTTTTTTTTTAATCCATATTATTCAAAAAGAAAATGAGAGAGATGATGATTCTGAGGCCACCCTATCCCAGCCATATTATTCACATATCGAGTCCCAACAGCAACAGCGTAGGGATGAGCACGAAATACTGTAAATTAAATGCTGAATGGCGGTTCATGCAGGGAAAGAACATATCAACATTCGCATATTCATTCAAAAACATGAAAATTCTTAATGGAGTACCTTCATTTTTTATTGAATTCCTAAAAAAAATATTTATAATGAATTTTAATAATTTTTTCGAATTTTTTTTAAGCTTTATTCTGACCGATTCACCGGATCGCCGATTCGCCGATCCGGATCGATTTTTTGGAAGCCCGATCCGGGTCACCGATCCGTTTTTTAAACCATTGGTTTGAACGATTCAAGTATAATGCAAGGAAATGTGGTTTGTGTTAGGCTATACATTAAGTAAATTCATGATATGGCCATGAAAAAGTTTCACAGTTAATAATAATAAAAAAAGTCCCAATTATGTACAATCTATGTATATAGATGTGCATTGATGGATTTAACCACGTGTGAATACATTAAAGACACAACACTTGTATCAAACATTTTAGCAACCTAAACACTTTTTGCCAACTTTCCTTTTCAAATATTTCCATAAGAGACTCCTGTGCACCACTTTTATCTGACAAGTGTGCGACATAATGAATGTGAAACTGGAGTTGGCAATTACGATACTCTTATCTACTGTGAAATTGGAGTCGGTAATTACAACACTCGTATCTATGTCAGATATTAGCTTACATTTATATTTGTACAACACAACGAAAAATCACATTCACAACAATTATTGGCAAAAGATGATCCATGATAATTCATTTTCTAGCAAGAAATGTAGTAATTTATTAAAAAAAATGTCCATAGTTCCATGAAGGGCAATTTTTTTTTCACTGTCAAATGAAAGGCATTTTTCACATATTTGTTTCGCAGGAAAAAATTTTAAATAAATATTTTTCACATGAAAGAATTCTCTCATATAGTTAGGTGCGAGAATATTTGTACATTAGTTGATCTCAACTCTCAATGCATCCTTTTACACTATTTGATTACTAATTAGCATGGAACTATTCTCCCACATCAACCTACATAAAAAAAAATTCACATAATTTTATTTTATGGAAAATATTTTCACCCAAATTGAAACTTTGGGAAACTATTTTAAATACCTTAATTTTCGTCTATTTAGGAAAAAACCTTTAACTTTTATACCGTAAAAACTAACCATATTATACCAGATTTTAAGTACCGAAAAAATTAACCCATGCAATATAGTATTTTAAGTGCCGTAAAAACTAAACCATATTATATCACCGTAAACCCTTTTCTATGGTTTATATTTATCTCTTTCATCGTGTTTATATATAACTCTTTCATCTCTCTAAATCTTTTTACGTTTATCTCTTATTTATCTCTCTAATTCTTTTTAATATTTATCTATTATTTTTCTCTTTAATTCTTTTTATCTCTTCCTTCTCTCTAAATTTTGTATCTCTCTAGCTCTCTTTCTCTCTCCAAGGAGATTTGTATAACAACGTGTGCGTATCTTACCATCCCCTATAAAAACTCCCTTCAACCCCATCACCCTATGAAAATTAAATGGAGTCAGATTTGTATTGCGTTGGAATCGTGTTTGTTGAGTTGATGAAGTAAGTAGAGTGAGAAAGAGAGTTAGAGAGATAAAATATTTAAAAAGAGAAAGAATAGATGAATATTAAAAAGAAGGAAAAATATATCTTTATCCCCTATTTTTATCTTCTATATCTCATGAGGCCCAAGAATTGAAAATATTACTTATAAGCAAAAGATCTTCGCCTTTTATATCTTACAACCTCCTAGACCCTTTTACTATAAATTTTTTACCAAAAAAAAACACTAAAATGACACCTTATTCAAACTCTATCTCTCTCCTTCTAAAAGTTCATCTCTCTCTCTAAAACTTCATCTCTCTCTATCTCTCTTCGCTTCTTGGAGAGTTTACCAACCAAGGGGTTTAGCTTGAGCTCGAACATGAGAACACCTTCTTATGTGTGTGAGAGAGATGTAGTTTTAGATAGAGAGATGGAGTTTTGGTTTTAGAGATAGATGGAGTTTGAGAGAGAGCGACGATGATGTGAGAGAGAGAGATGGAATTTGGATTTTAGAGAGAGAGATGGAGTTTTGAGAGATAGACGATGATGGGAAGAGATGTAGTTTTAGAGAGAGAAAGATAGAATTATTTCATAAGTTGTTGAGGTCAATAATACATGGTGAAAATAGTTTATGGTGTTGGAAGACAAAAAAGATAAAGTCATTTTGCTTACAAGTAATGTTTTCAATTTTTGGATCTAATGAGATACAGAAGTTAAAAATAATAGAAGTTAAAAATAAGGGATAATAAGATATTTTCCCTAAAAAGAATTAAAGAGAAAAATAAGAAATAAACATAAAAAAATTAGAGAGATAAATATGATGAAAAAGATTTACGATATTTTGAATGCGGTATAATATGTGTTAGTTTTTATGATACTAAAAATGCTGTATAATATGGGTTAATTTTTACTGTACTTAAAATATCGTATAACATGGATTAGTTTTTACTGTACTAGAATGCTGTATAACTTTGATTAGTTTTTATAGTAATTAAAGTAACGTAATTGGCTTTACGATAATACGATTACTGTGAAAGTTATTTTAGTAAAAAAATACCTAAAATGAAAAAAAAAAATGGTGTAAATAAGATTTATAAAAGTTAAGAGTTATTTTTTTAAGAGTAGTGCTCCTATAACCCTTCCACATCCATATGTGTAGAACCTCAAAAGATCACAAATATCTAAAAAATTATCACTTAAATGTGGGATTTGACTTTTTTAAATATCTATCTCAAGTTTAATGGTGATCATTTGAAATCTTAGATACATGGAATTGAAAATATGTAATAGTCAGTTCCCTTTTTCTAAATAGAAAAAAATTATTTGCCATAATTTTCTCTCCCAGGTTCGATAGAGGCAAGGGATGCTTTGAATTAGAGAACGGGGGCGGTTCCGTAATTTGTCAAGAACGTAACGCATAAAAAACCCTAATCCAATACGAGATCTGGACCGTTGAAGATGGAAGATCCAACGGCTAAGGAAGAAACCCTTACCGAAGCTTTATAGAGCCGGCACCGTTTCCCTCATTCTCTTTGATTTTTGCTTTCTCCCTTGGGGAAGAGTTGTAGTCCTGCGTTTTCTCTCTCTCTAGCATCGGCATCGAGCAGGTGGGATGCGCTGATCTTTTCAGTTCCTTTTAGGGTTTTGTTACTCTCTCTATCTCTGGTTCATTTGTGATAATGTAAATATTGATCCGATCTATCATTTTCCTTTCGTTATCAATGGGTCCTCTCTCTCTAGTCCATGATTTTTTGTAAGCCTCTTGTCCATAATGGGATATTTATTATCATCTCTCTTCTATTTGAGAATCGAGATTGCTTTTCCTCTCTAGAAGATAGCTTGATGGTCTGATATTTGACTGTGTTATCTAGTAATCAGATGATTTGTTTGTTCAACTATACTTCTCTCGTTTACTGATTTTGGTTCGTACAGTTACAATTTTTTTTTTCTTGGCTAGATCGGTAATTTTTCATTTAGTGTTGATGATCACTTTGATCTATAGATCCTATGATCCATCAATTTTTTTTTTTTTTGCTTTACTTCTAAAGAATTACTTTTGCTTATTTTCTATGAACTATTTTAATATGATTTGATATGTTTAATATTATTTTAATATGATTTGAAATTATGTGGAAAGTGATTGACTTGACCACCTTATAATTTATTGTTTTTCCGAGTTTAAAATATGCCAGTAAGTAACAAGCGAAAAAAAAAAGTTGTTAAGTGGAAATTTGGCATAATTCACCTGGCTTGTTCCTTTGCCATATATTATGATACTATATTCCTCTTCAATTGATTATTAAAAATGTTCATAGTACTTCTTTGCGTCCTCTATTTTGTATAGAAAATTTGGGTTCTTTGGGTTCTGGAATTTTGAAACTTGAACTACGCTCCTGACTCTGGTTGGTTTCCAACATTTTATTCTTATTATTTTTAGAAGGTCTGTATGGCTTAGCTCCGTTCAGGACCCTAGTGAGTCCCCATCTGGAGACCCCCATTTGTGTCACTGGTACTGGTTTGTTGTCACTCATAGCCTCCTAATCCATACTAGGAATACTCGTTTTATTCTCTCTATTATAAAGATTTTGCAAAATTCAGTCATGGATAACATTCATATTCTGCTACTCCAAATAGACTATAGGAAATGAGGAGTTCAATAATAGGAATTGGATATTGGAGTTCACATTCTAAAGTGTTCATTTTCTAATGGATAAAATAAAGGTATTCAATATCTCTGGCATGGGTTTGAATCCTATTGCATGTCACTACTCTGCGTCATGAAAATGGGTTCAGTAATTCGTTTAGGTTATGCTCTCCCCCCCTTCCCAAAAAAATATAGATTAAAGGTCTTCAATATCTTTGGCCCAGGTTTGAATCCTATTGCATGTTACTACTCTGTTTGCATCATGAAAATGGGTTTAGTAATTCATTTAGGTTTTGCTCTCCTCCCCTTCCCAAAAAAACATAGATTGAAGGTCTTCAATATCTTTGGCCGAGGTTTGAATCCTATTGCATGTCACTATTCCGTTTGCTTCATGAAAATGGGTCCAGTAATTCATTTCAGTCATGCGCTCCCCTCCTCCCCCCAAAAAAAAGAAGATAGAATGAAGGTCTTCAATATTGTTGGCCTAGGTTTGAGTCCTATTTAGTCTCTATTCACTTATGGATATTCAGCAATTGTACCTCGAACGATTTATGCTGTTGGTACCTTCAGGTGCTTCCCACTCTGTGCTCGGTATGGGTAATCTAGACTGGAGTAACTGTGGTTGACTCCAGATGAGTATGTCCTGTTAAATACCTCCTCTATTGTCTGCTGTCTTTGTTGGGTAAAACTTTGATTATTCCCTTGAACATGGCCTAATTTTTGTCCATAATGGATAAGTATCAGAAATTTGAAAGAGAACTTCACTAATCATTATGTTATATTATATTGTGGGTGAGTTCTGTTTGTTTAAGTATGCATAATTTTCCCATCAGCATGGTGATCACAATTCTATCTTATGATCTTAGATCTCATGGTCGTGGCTTCTTGGCTCCTTGGTTGTGTTGCTTTTAATTATGATTCTAGTTATTTTTTAATTGAGTTTTCTCATTTATATTGCCTTTTTCCCCTCTTTCTCTCTATATATATTTGGCTGCATGAGAGAAGTTGCATTTTTTGGTCCTGCTCATGGATGACCTATTTTGGTTATATTGCCTATTTCCCTCTCGCTATCTATCTTTTGCATGAAAAAGTTATCTTTAGCATGAAAAAGATTGCTATTCTTCTAGTTTTACTCAATGATGACCTATTTTTTGTAGGAACTTACTTGATAAAAGATGGGTAAAGAGAAGTTTCACATCAACATTGTGGTCATTGGCCATGTCGACTCTGGCAAGTCCACGACCACTGGTCACCTCATCTACAAGCTTGGAGGTATCGACAAGCGTGTGATTGAGAGGTTTGAGAAGGAGGCGGCTGAGATGAACAAGAGGTCTTTCAAGTATGCTTGGGTGCTTGACAAGCTCAAGGCTGAGCGTGAGCGTGGTATCACAATTGACATTGCCCTGTGGAAATTTGAGACCACAAAGTATTACTGCACTGTCATTGATGCCCCTGGTCATCGTGACTTTATCAAAAACATGATTACTGGGACTTCTCAGGCTGACTGTGCTGTCCTCATTATTGACTCCACCACTGGTGGTTTTGAGGCCGGTATTTCTAAGGATGGTCAGACCCGTGAGCATGCTTTGCTGGCCTTCACCCTTGGTGTCAAACAGATGATCTGTTGCTGCAACAAGGTAAATAAGCTTTGGCCATTATGGTGGTTCCTTATTGCTAGTTCCTCCTTTTTATGTGTGGCCTGCTCTTTTGTCTCTGTCATGAAAGCAGGTTTTAAATTTGTGCTTTTATGTTCTATCAATATGGAATTTTTTTGACTATATTGATTTTGGTTCCTGAGATTTTAAATTCTTTTTTATTGTTCTAGGCATTTTCATAAATCAGTGTTCGTGATTATCCATATCTTTTTTCATGGAAACTAAAGAATTTGCATCAACAATTTGGTTTTCATTGCATGGTGCTTATATGGTTCCATCAAACAATTGTTTCATTATGTTGGAAATGTATGCCAGCCATTAAACCAATGCATACAAGTTTTCATGTATGCCTGTCATTTTACAAAGCAATTTATAGGAAAAGTGAACATTTCATAACTTTGCTATGCGTGAGAGACTATTGCTCAATGCAATTTTTTAAATTAATATAGTATTGATTTTGACTTTAGGCTGAACTTAACAGTTATTGATGGTTATGTTAGATCATGTCTTTTTAGATATGAATTTATAGTAAATTGCATTTTCTAATTTTATTTAATTATTGATGTGATGATGATAGATGGATGCCACTACTCCCAAGTACTCCAAGGGCAGGTACGAAGAAATTGTGAAGGAAGTGTCCTCTTACATCAAGAAGGTTGGATACAACCCCGACAAGATCCCTTTTGTCCCCATCTCTGGGTTCGAGGGTGACAACATGATTGAGAGGTCTACCAACCTTGATTGGTACAAGGGTCCCACATTGCTCGAGGCCCTAGACCTGATCGTGGAGCCCAAGAGGCCCTCTGACAAGCCCCTCCGTCTCCCACTTCAGGATGTCTACAAGATTGGAGGAATTGGAACTGTTCCTGTGGGCCGAGTGGAGACTGGTCTTCTTAAGCCTGGTATGGTGGTCACCTTTGCCCCAACAGGGCTCACCACTGAAGTTAAGTCTGTGGAGATGCACCACGAGGCACTCCAGGAGGCTCTCCCTGGTGACAATGTGGGCTTCAACGTGAAGAATGTTGCGGTCAAGGATCTTAAGCGTGGTTTTGTTGCCTCTAACTCCAAGGATGACCCTGCTAAGGAAGCTGCAAACTTCACCTCTCAGGTATATGTTTTGTCATTATTCAACTAGTTTTCAGTATTCCATTAGTGGATAAAGCACTTTGGTTAGTTTTGAGGTTTGATTATTCGAGTTTCAAAATAGCAGGGAAAAAAATTGTATTAAGTGGATGAAAAAGGATTTTTTATGTGTTTGTTTCTGTGGATGTTGCCCTCCCTAGTGTTGGGAGGGTTGTGCCTTCCTTTTTTGTGGATTCTTTTTATGCTCTCCCTCATCAGTTGCCCTTTCAAAGTTTTAATGTGTTTCATGTTGATTGATTCTTTTTCTTTTATTTAATGGGCAGTTCTTTCACCATTTATTTTTCACCGCCATGAGGTATCCTTCATAGTCACCATTTTAATCGTTTCTCATAATTGGGTTTCTATTTAACTATTGTGGGGTTCATCCCTTTCTTTTCCTTCAGGGAATTCTAATGTGACGGGGACCTAATTTTTCATTGTGAGATCTTCTTTGTTTACATGAGAAATATTTCTTGTCAATTGGATTCCTTATAACCCTTGATTTAAACGAGGACTCTAGGTGGCCCTCACTAGGGCCCTTTTGAGTCAGGAAAATACACGTCCTTCAAATAAAAAAATAAAATATTGGGAGCTAGCAATGCTCGGCTGATTCCCATGTTTTTGGTTTATGTACTTGGCACCCGGCTGAGTCCAAGCTGAACTTGCCTGGTTGTGATCCACTGCTTGTAATTTTTTTCTCCAATGGAGGATGGAGAAATGTACTTGAGGCCTCAAGAGTATTGGAATTTATGTATGATTCTTGTAACTGTTCTACTCTGTCTCAGGTTATCATCATGAACCATCCTGGCCAGATTGGAAATGGCTATGCCCCTGTTCTTGATTGCCACACCTCCCACATTGCCGTCAAGTTTGCCGAGATCCTCACCAAGATCGACAGGCGTTCTGGCAAAGAGCTCGAGAAAGAGCCTAAGTTCTTGAAGAACGGCGATGCAGGTTTTGTTAAGATGATTCCCACAAAGCCCATGGTGGTTGAGACCTTCTCTGAATACCCACCTCTCGGAAGGTTTGCCGTGAGGGACATGAGGCAGACAGTGGCTGTTGGTGTGATCAAGAGCGTCGAGAAGAAGGATCCTAGTGGTGCCAAGGTCACCAAGTCTGCTGTCAAGAAGAAGTGAATCGTGCTGGTCTTAGGACTACCTTTTGTTAATGTTCTGGTTTCATGGTTTCAGACTCCGTCTTTTTGTCTCTCTGTCTCTTTGTGTTTTGGTTTGTTGTCTGTTTCCGGCGGGCGGACAATGCAGAACTGGCGGACAATGCAGAACTGGGTGCTCGACAGGCGGTGGCATACCCAAGAGGTGCAAGGTTTCCTTCTTCCCTCCTCTTTTTCATTGGAGTAGGTGGGTAAAAAAACCTGTGCCCTTCCCTCTCATTTCTTTGTTGTCCGGGACACTCAATACATGAGTCTGTTTTGTTAGTTTTTTATTTCGTGAATAGAAGATTCGGATTTTGATGATTTTAAGATTCGAAAAGAGAATTTGGTTCGTAAATTGTTGGAATCCCCTGATTTGGATTCAATCCCAATAGGGATCTCGATCGCCAATTCAAGGTACACCCCCTTGATCACTGACCGACTCAAGAAGTAATCGAGTCAGATCAGGCTAAAACTGGGTTCATTCTGTGTCATGTTCCTGGTTTTATGTATTTAAATAAATATGGAACTCGAATGTGTGCGATCGCTCAATTAGTATATGTGGGCTTGACTTAACCGCATTCTAACTTCTGGCCACGACCATCCAACTTGGACGGTGGTGATTGATTTGTTTGAAAGTGTTGTTTCATGTCCTTCAAGTTGTGCTACCGTTTTTGTGTGCCAGGAACCTTTGCAATGGCGTTAAACCTATTCTGCCTGCCATGAAATTTGAAGCTCCACTAATAGTGCAGATTCAGCACATGAAAATGAAACAGTTCTGCCTGCCATGAAATTTGAAGCTCCACTAATAGTGCAGATTCAGCACATGAAAATGAAACAGTTTAGAAAGGGCGTTACAATATACAGCATTTAGGGTTTAAATCAAAATCCATTTCTTTAGGGTTTGCAATCCAAATCCAATTCACAAAAGCATTTTTTCTGGGTTTGAAATCCTTGATACATTTTGTTAGTGTTTGAAATTTTTTTTTAAAGTTGTAACTTTTCTTGTAGAAGGTTTGTACTTAGCAACATTGTTGTCCATATTATTTACTTATGTAGATTTAACATTATTTAGATGCCACTTGTATATATGAAAAAAGTTTATACAAGGTTGTAATTTTAAAATGTAAAATTAAAGATGCGCCTGAAAAATTCATAAAGTTTTAATGTTAAAAAACCCTCTAATTGATCATCTCGACATCGAGATGTATGAATATGGAAAAAGGAAAGAATATGGAAAAAAAGAATGATTTTGAGTATCAGAAATACTGCATCTTGTTATACATTATCTAGACTGTCGATTTTTTGAAGATTTTCATGCCTACAGATCTATTTGATTCTAACGGTTTTTGGAGTTTAAAATTTTTATTATTAGGTATGAGATAGATTTTTCAGATAATCATCAAAATTATATATTATGACAATTTGGAGGTGCTCCTTAATTGGATTGTTCAAGGTTGCAACCTTGCATAAACCACACAGTTTAGATATTGTTTTGACTTTAGATGCCGCCTTTTGATATTGCATTAAACCATGACTGGTTCAGCTTTGGCCTTTGAAGCATTCATACTTTCATTTCACAAATTTACCATTGACCCATGGACGGTTCTTATTAAAGCGATTGTTGTGGTCGCTGGATAATACTGTTTTGCCCACAAAGCTGTTTTGATCGTCACAACCTTGGCAATTATGGATCTGAAGAAAATGCATTCAGGTTCTAAAATTATTGTCTTGCAATGCATTGTTTCGACTTTCTATTTTCAACTATTCACACATCCTTCTAATTTGAAGGGTTTTTGCTTCCCACGTTTCTTAATGGCAAGCTTTCTGTGCATCCCTTACAACATAAAACCTATATATATTTTTTTATCCAGCCCTCCATTCTGATTGGAGGGTTAAGATTGCTCCAATCATAATGTTGCATTTCTACACTATTTTTTTTTTTTTTCTATAAACTATTTAGACATCAAATTTTGGATGTCCAATCCTCTATTAAACTCGAACTAACGAAAAATATAAAAAAGTACTTCAATAAAATAAAATGATTAAATACCCACGAAAGTTTTAAGGGGTATTTTGGTCATTATATTTTATCAAAAAAATTGTTTTTAATATTTTTTATTGTTGCGCCCTAATGAAAAGATGGCACGTATTAAATTTTAGATTCATATAATTTGTATAAAAAAAACTAAAAATAAAATATTTTGAGACGTTGGATTTAAAAATCAAATGGTGAGTGGCTCTCTTGATCAAAGTTGGACGGCTGGAAGGTATCGAAAGCATAGATCTTTTATGTTGTAGGGGAAGTATAGGAACCTTTCTTGTTTTTTAATACTATTTTGACTCAATAGATGTTAAATTGGATAGTTTGGAGTGAGAAATCCGATGTTTTTTTTTTTTGGAACATTGCATATTTAGTGGCATTCTTTCGACCACTCATTTTGAAATGAACAATTATTTCATGCGGGCTGCATTTATATAATATGCGGTCCAGAGGTATAAAATATTCATCTTAAAGATAGATGCAAATAGGTGGTCTATCGAAAAACAACTGTTACTAACGGTTCAAGTGTTTTCTTAATTATTATTTTTTGTTTTCAAATCATATGCTTTTTATATTCATGATCTCCATATTAAAGATTATATATTCTCTAAGAACTAAGATCAAATTATATATTTTTTTTACCAATGTTAAGAATTTTATTGATATTCTAAGAAGAGATTACATCAGAATAGACAATAAGAGAGTCTAGGCCAACACCTCTTTTAGCCAAAGCTTAAGCAATCCCATTAGCCTCTTGAAAAAAATGGGAGAAAGAAAATGTGTAAAGAAACTGAAATATCCAAGACTTGTAGCCATAAGATCAAATTATATTTAAAATATATATTTATTGCTAAGCCCACAGTTCTACAATATACGGGATGGCTGCATGCTAAGCTAATCTCATCTGTTTAGTGGTTAAGCCCATCTCAATCACGATAGCTAATCTCATTTGTTTAGGGGTTAAGCCCATATCAATCACGATTCGACAAAGCCTCATTCTACATGTTTCGTTCTTGTTACTAAAGGAGAATTGAGAGAAATGAACAAGCTTTTCACCATTCTTTCTTGCTAGATTCTATACGTATTAACAACACGTTGTTTCTTATACTTGAAATGTTAAAAAGGTCACAAGGGCAGGCAATAAAGCATATTATTATCCCCAACAAGTCCACCTTTTGACTTCGAAATTGGACCTTTAATTATTTGGGGTCAAATGAAGTAACTATTGATCTTGATACCGCCAACAACTATTTTAATATTTAAGGAATGAGAGTGGTTGTGATGTCTTTGTACGATAAATAGTTTTTTGAAAGTTAAGGAATAAAAGTGGTTGTGACCTCTTTGTATAATAAATGGTTTGATGTTTTGTGTTGTAAGCCATCCCTTTTTCATTTATATATCTATTATTTACAAAATATTTCTTAATTTATATGAGTTATTAAATTTTATTATTTTGTTAGAGTAAGGCAATTAAATTTTATTATGTTGTTGTTACAGTAAGGCTTAGGCTTCAAAAACTAAAGTAACATCTTAGAAGCATGATCTATTGCCCAAAACCCCTAGGAATGCTTGAAAACTATTTTCACCCCTAGCAGAGAATTATCAAGCTCCAAAATTAGTGCAGATCCTGTAAATTTGTAGACACTTGGATATCGATGGTCCATATAATGTGCTAAAAGGTATATTATTTGTGCTTCAAATGCATCTTGTATTATTGAAATTGAGATGATCAATTTGAGAGTTTTTCGACACCAAATTATATTTCCCGATATTCTTTGAGGTGCAGACTTAGTTAACATCTTATTTACGGCATATGTGTTCTTGATCGACCATCCCCACTATTGTACTTTTATCAAAGCATAGCATGAAACTTTTTTACCATTATTTGTATTACGTTTAGTCAGAGTTGGATTGAAAATCTCATATCCTCTTGAGAAACTGTACACTAAGATATTCTTTGGGTGTGCGTGTTGTACTCCGTTGGGAGCAAAATATTCACTTACTCCCCCTAGACAAATGCTTAACTTAGAAGCATTTTATTTTATTTATTTCATCTCGGGTTCTACTTAGACGAGCATTTTCTATAATACAATGAAAAAAGCTTATATAAGGATGAGACCCTAAACAATCAAATTAAGGCGCACATCAAAAATTCATTCGAAGTGGTTCTTTTGATGCCCAAAAATCCTCTAATCAATCATCTAGACGACTTCAAGATGTATGGACATGAGAAAAAATGGATTTCAAATATTGAAAATAGTGCATCTTGTAACGTATGTTTTGAACTATCAATTTTCAAAATTTTCAAATGTTCATCATTCTACTCAATATACGCTATTTTTGAAGCTTTAAATTTTCAGGTCATTAGAAAAATTTCCAATACTTAACATCTTTCAACACCATTTGAAGGTACCCCTTACTTTGATTATTTAGGGCCTCAGCATTATACAAGCCACACCCGAAAACAAATAGATGAGTACTTATAACACCTAAATCTACCCATCTCAAATTTATACAAACAGGTCTGGTTTTGCTCAAGCGAGCAAGTGTACACTTTACTCTCTGGGAGTTCTCGTGTGGTTTTATCCATTTTGCCTCTCGTATTTTTGGAAGGGGATCATAAACACCCTCTTAATCTCTACTGTAAATCTCGTCCTTCAAAAAAAGTATTGAAGGCATATACTATGCTCCTGCTTGAGCAATGTGTACATCTATGTCCTCAGTTAGAAGGCTTGGGAGGATTTTTTAATTTTAAAATTTGCGAACACATTTAGAATCACTAGATTTTCTTTTAAATTTTGAGAAACCCTTTAGAATTACTAGATTATTCTTTTAAATATTTAGAATCCCTTTAGAATCACTAGATTATTCTTTTAAATATTTAGAATCCCTTTAGAATCACTCAGATTGAATTTAGAGTGTTGTAGTACTTGGATATCACCCTAAAAAAACTAGGACAATCTCTATTCAATCTTGAGGCAAAATTCTTTTCAAGTGCATAAAAAGTACAATTACATTAAACATGAAGTTAATCTAAGGGTAAAGAGTTAATTTAGGGTCCTAAAATTAATCAGTAAATAAATAATATACTCCCACATCAATATAACATCTTTTAGCAAAAGTATTGTTGAATATTCCTCTTAGATCTTGTGGTGGCCGGCAAAGTGTGTCCCTTTGTGGGTCCCTGTCTTTCTGATGCTCTTGTACAATTTACGGCACATAAGAATTCTACTTGGCCCACCTAGTTCGATTTGACCCCTTTAAAGGTTAGGATATATTTAATTGAGTAATTACATAAATTAGAGAATCTTGGTGAATTAGAATCGCCTAACTAATAATCTTGATCTGATTCGAGCGATTTTGAGTCTGATCGACAATTTTATGATTAATATTTACAACTTTTTTTAGTTTTACTTTTTCATTCTTTACGAAGGGAGTGATCACCTTCCCAAAAATACCAAACTCCAAGAAACTTGAGGTATACTCCCCAATTACTTATTCATATTTTCTC